TTCTCTCTCCTGGGGTGTATGGTTAGACATTAACTATAATTTATATTTTGGTATAAATTGGCTTAACATTAGTAGTTCAGTCTTTTTTTTGTTTGTTTTTTTTTGTGGCTAGTCAAACATGTGTTGTTTGTAAACTGGTTGACCGTGTTTTCATATAGGTGTTGAGAGAGCGGCTTCAACAACGAATGAAACAACGCGAGGAAACTCTTGTACTGAAGCAAAAGGTAAATAGGTTATATAATTGTAAAATGGAGGTAGCTCTAAATTAAATGATTATGAAATGTAATTGTTTTTCTAATTGAAAGCTCAGGTGATTATCATATATCTTCATATTAATTGGCCGAGGTCGTGTGTTTTACAACGTCCACAATGTATGCCCATAGCAAGAAAACAGACAAAGAAACAAACAAAAATCAGAGCGTCTAAGAAAGAAAAGTTGTTTATCGCTAGACTTTTACAGCTGCAGTGTTCAGTGTAGTTTGTATGTGAAGTGAGTTTTAATCAGCGTTTGGAAAGGCGTCTACAGCCGTATGTTAACTGCTTGGTGACTGAATGAAAGAGAAAGCTATGTGTTCGCAGTTATGTAGAACGAGGGTTGGCAATGTGTCGCATTCAAGAGAATGCAAAACGACTGTAGCAGAGATTTCTTTTCCACACAGCAAGTTAAACTGCAAATTCAGTTAACTTCGACTATCTCACCAGCTGNTGTTTTCATATAGGTGTTGAGAGAGCGGCTTCAACAACGAATGAAACAACGCGAGGAAACTCTTGTACTGAAGCAAAAGGTAAATAGGTTATATAATTGTAAAATGGAGGTAGCTCTAAACTAAATGATTGTGAAATGTAATTATGAAATAAAAGCTCAGGTGATTGTCATATATCTTCATATTAATTGGCCAAGGTCGTGTGTTTTACAACGTTCACAATGTATGCCCATAACAAGAAAACAGACAAAGAAACAAATAAAAATCAGAGCGTCTAAGAAAGAGAAGTTATTTATCGCTAGACTTTTACAACTGCAGTGTTCAGTGTAGTTTGTATGTGAAGTGAGTTTTAATCAGCGTTTGGAAAGGCGTCTACAGCTGTATGTTAACTGCTTGATGACTGAATGAAAGAGAAAGCGATGTGTTCGCAGTTATGTAGAACGAGGGTTGGCAATGTGTCGCATTCAAGAGAATGCGAAACAAATGTAGCAGAGATTTCTTTTCCACACAGCAAGTTTAACTGCAAATTCAATTAACTTCGACTATCTCACTAGCTGCGTGTAAAGAGTAAAAACCAGGATTGTTTAGTCGCACCACATTTTTGATTCATCATTTTTTCTTCTACTAAGGACGAGTTGTCTCAATATATGAGCAATCTCAATGTGAACAACATGGCCATGAAGTTAA